TTATTTATATTATTATTATTATTATTATTATTATTATTATTATTTAGAGAGAAAGATGCAGCCAACTTTGCGTGTCTTAATGAAACTGATGTGAGCATGTGTGTTCAGTCTGGGTCTGTGACATCTGATCTCTTTGAACAGTAACCAAAGTTGAACTTTGTTTGTGATTTTTTAGTCATACAGAGATTTCATCCAGAATGAAATGTTTCAGATTACGTTGTGCAAGACAAAGAGACACCAAGGAGCAATAAGCAATGCATTCTTGTTTTACTGTTTTGCTTCATTCTCTTATACTGTGCTTTTATTATTTGAGTTGTTTATGGTAGAAGTCAGAGGTTTTTATTCAAGAAATATACCAGTCTTATACAATGTTTAAAAAAAAATTCATGGTTTTCCAAGTATTTCGTGTTATTAAATTTGCCATTCCATCACAATTGATAGACAGTAGACAATATTCCCCATGTGCCTGTGAAGCTGTTCTTCTAGAAGGAAATCAGTTTTGAGGTTGACTCTTCTCTCAAGCAAGTTATGACAATCTGAAGACAAAAACTGTGAATGAGCATTTGAGTAACTAAGTCATAATGATTATTATGACAAGGCCAATGATTGTCACCGTATAGACGACACATTGTTGTTATTTTGGGAGTTTTTGAACACTTAAGTCTTTATTGTAGAGTAATGGAACTTACATAAATCATATTATAAATGGGGTCTTCATTGTCACTTTCTCTCACTAAAATGGAAAAAAGGAAATGTTATATTCATTTTGGTTACTTATATGTATGAATAGGTTTGATATTGATTTTGCTGTTACTATTGTTTATTATTATTATTAATTATTGATTATTTATCATTATACTTATTAGTAGTAAGGTGACTATAATGATTATGATTATTATTGTTATGTTATTTATCATGATTATTGTTATTATTTTTGTTTTTATTATTATTATTAGTATTGATTACAACCATTACCATGACTATTACTGTTGTTATTACAACCATTACTATTGCTATTACTGTTATTATAATTGCTTTCTTGTAATGGTGTTCATTTTTATGATTATGATTATTATTTTCAAGTTTTTATTATCATTCTTATAAATTTATAGCAAATGGGAAAAAGTAATGTTCATTATTTCAGAACTGGCACTTATCCAGTGATATACTGCAACATGAAATCACTCTCCGCTGCAGCTTTGCTTTGTTGATTTAATATATACAGAGGTCTCCACAAATGCACAGTTACCAAGGATACATTTACTAGGCCTACATGACTTAAAATGTTTACGTTATTATTACTATTAATTATTATTAGTATTATTATTATCATTATCATTATCATTATCATTATTAATGTCACTTATTACTGTATTAGCTTTATTATTGATGTTGTTATTATTATTATTATTATGATGATGATGATGATGATGATGAACATAAATATTGTAATGTTATCAACAGTAATTTTAATGTAAGTTCAGGTATTTGTTTTAAAATGGAAGGAATAGGGTAAACTTCAAAGTTCAGGAAGGCCTATGGTTTGTGTTGATGGCTATGCATGTGGAGCCAATAGTTAAATTTGAAAACAAATAAACAAGAAATTAGAAAAGTAATTATGCCAAAAAAGAAAAAAAAAGAAAAAAAAATGAAATGATGTAAAAAGATGTATGAAAGATAAAATTGACCAAATTTTTAATTTTTTAGAAATAATTTTTTCTTTTGTTGATTTATTGAAATCCGTTTGTTTTTATTTGATTCTCTGTTTCTCCTTTTTGTTTATTGCTGTTCCTTTTTTTTTTTTTTTTTTTTTTTTTTTTTTTACTACATCCTTAAAGGAATGACATGAAGGTACTTTACTGGAGCTTTTCAAAACTTGCAAGTAAGAATCCCAATATTGCACTTACAAAATTCCTTGCAAAAGGAGTATATAACCCACTCAGCTCCCAAACCCCTACTTAAGAAATTATAGTAAAATCCTATAAACCTCAAAAAGAACGTGATGGAAGAAATATATGGCTATTACATAGATCTAATGCTGGTTGTAGCAGATCAAAGAACGGAAGCAGCAGCCAGGCTGGTGGAATGCAAGTGTGATTACATTAAAGAAAACTTATATATATATACATTAGAAAAAGGAAAAAAAAAGTATACATGATAAATTATACTTTTTTCATATAAAACTGTTATTACCACTTTGTGCTAAAATAATCCACTTCATGTATTGCAAAATGAAATTGTAATTTTAAGTTGGCTTTATTCCTTGTGTCATGAATTTCTCTGTTTACTAATAAATATAGTGTTATTATTTATTATATGTAAATTTAAGGGAGAAATATTAATATTTTAATAAACAAGCATATACATATATGTATATGAATGTGTACATGTGTGAGGTTTTCCCTTAAATCATAGATATATTTATCAGATTCTTTATAAATTTTTTTTGTCACATTTGAATTTATACATAGGCTTAACAAATGATATTTAACTTTATTAGTTTTTCTTGATAGTAAATTACTGATACTGGAGCATCTCCCTATAACCTATTGTATCATTAAGTGCAACATTGTTTTTATAAATAATTGAGTGTGCACGTATTAATATGGCAGTCATGTACTTCCTTCAGAACCTCAACTTTTCTTTTTATGATGTCAAATCCTAGAAGTTGCACTGGAAGACTTAATGCAGCTTTTTGCAAATAAGTTTAGTCACAACTAGTCAGGTTGTAGTGAGCAGCAAACTGGGAACTTTTTAAGTGAATACCCTTGTTAATAAGTATAGAAACAAAGAAAAAAATATATATAAATAAAAAGAAAAAAAACAAGAAGAAGTGAAAGTAAAAAATAATGGTATATTTAATTTATGTACTTTTTAAATTGGTTATATATATATATTTTTTGTTACTGTTCTTTAGTTTGACAAGTTGCTTTAATGCATAGGCCACTACTCATTATTGTGTATGATTAGGATGTGTATGATTTGTTAGTTATCATATTGGTTTTTCATTGTTCGTTTTACGACAAATTTTTGTTGAACCTTCAAAAATAAGATCAGGAGAATGGAGAATTCATAGAATGCTCTTTGCAGTCCTTATCTCTATTAAATTTTATGCAGCAGACTGTACTCTCAATATACTTTGTGATTATGAAAAAATAAGTCAAAGTTCCTGAGAATCTGCAGGTATGTTGTTTATAAAGTTCTACTTGAATTCAATTTCTCTGTTGTTCATCATCAAATGGTATTATCACAGGTAGCAGGATTTTTTTATGACACGAAGAATTGTTTTTCTTTTTTTATTGGTTGTCTAGAGGAAATGCAAAATGGATAGCATTTATTTTTTTTTAATGTCCTAATTGGTGATTCATGGCCAATATGTTAGCAAAGCAAGTGATACTCATAAAACCAAGCAAAAAATTGCAATGCTGATGTTCCTTGGCTGGCATTTGGTGCAAATGTTTTTTCTGCTATGGAGGGTTGGCAACTTTTGTATATTTGTATATAGGAAAACTGTTGCTATGTTTTCTTGTCAATATGAAAGTCACAAAGTTTGAGGTATATTTCTAGTAGAAAATTTATTGTAAATATTTTATGCAGATATGCATTGTCTCATTGTCATGAAACGATTGGTATAAAATAAAGGTGTTAATACCAGCATTTCCCTTTTTCTTCCTGAAATTTCCTTGATAAGCACTTTTTATTTTTTGCCCCCCCCCCCCCCCAAATCCCTTGCCCGTTGTTGTCGTGGGGGGGGGGGGCATAGGAGACGCAGACGGAGACCCATAGTAGGGATCTGAAAGGATGACTGTGCCAGTCTTGAACGGCCTGAGGGAACTATGGGCACGATATTCCCGTTTTGTTGTTTAGCCCTTACCCCTCAAGGAGACCCTGAGGGGTAGACTTCATTTCCCCAACATAGCCAAGGCTTCTCATGGCCAGTAATGAAGTAATATCCATATTAGAGGCACTGAGGCTTGCCTCTTCATCAAATAGCCCCCCCCCAATCCCTTGCCTGTTGTTGTCGTGGGGGGGCTTAGGAGACGAAGACAGACCCAATACAAGGATCTCCCCTGCCTAGGGCCTCAGCCCTCGACTCAACTAATTTTGCATGGTCTTTTCCCTCTCCAGCTTTTGTTTCCGTCTCTTCTCCATCCCCTCCCCCCCAATCCCTTGCCCGTTGTTGTCGTGGGGGGGCTTAGGAGACGAAGACTGAGACCCAATACAGGGATCTCCCCTGCCTAGGGCCTTAGCCCTTGACTCAACTAATTTTGCATGGTCTTTTTTCTCTCCAGCTTTTGTTTCCGTCTCTTCTCCATCCCCTTATGCTGTCTACTTCCTAAGGTGTGAGAGCCGTGCTGAGAGGATGAAAGGCTGACCTAGTGCCAGTCCTGAACGGCCTGCGGGAACTATGGGCACGGTACTCCTGACTAATCTAGCCCTTACCATCAGTAGCGAAAGGAGGTGGACCGAATAGGCCTATTTACATAATCCAGGTTCCCCATGACCAGTAATGAGAATGTAATCCCTTTATTAGAGGCTATGAGGCTAGCCCCTTTATCAAATAGCCCCAACCCAGGCTCTCCTTTGACCACGGCTCCGAACACTGAAACTACTGCCCACTCCTCAATGCATACTAGTGCATTACCCACCCAAGCAGAGAATCAATCTCCAGAAGACATTCCTACCCACCCAACTAACTCTAATTCAACTCTACCCCTGCAACCTTCATCAAACAACCAATCCTCCCTTATTACTACCTTGCAACCTTATTCTCCATCATTCCGTAATACTCCCTCTTCCACACGTCCCCGACTATCCACCACCACCAACCCTACAGATATCTTAAATACTCTGTTTAGCCCAGCTAAATGGGACCGATTTTTCGTGATCCCTGCTACAGCTCCTTACTCAGGCAACACTCTTCTCTTTCAACAATGCCTCCAAAAACAAGTAGGTAGAGTCCCTTTCTATACCAGACGCGATCGCTCCCGTCTGGTAACAGTCAGATCAGAAACTGAATCTATAGCACTGTCAAATTTAACTGATCATTCTGGCAACCCCATTCCTGCAGAACCTCATCCAACCCTTAATACCTGTACCGGAACTGTCTCTCTCTCCCCAGCAAACTGCACAGTCGATACCAAAGATTGGTCAGACTGTGGAGAAGACTTATTAGGATGCCTCAAAGACCAAGATGTGAAATCAGTACATTGCTACACCATTCCTCCTAAAGGTCAACGAAAGAATCCGACCAATATTGCCAAAATTACCTTCTGTACACATGACCTTCCCTTACGTATCTACATTGGTGGACAATCCCTCCCTGTTCGACCATACCAACCCCCTCCACGTCAATGTCAAAACTGTTGGCGCTTTGGACATCCTGCCAAACATTGCCGTTCCACACACCGATGCCCCATATGTGCCCAACCTGGTCATAATCGATCAAACTGCTCAGCACAAACACGAACATGTGTTAACTGCGGCGGCCCCCATAATGTATTTTATAGAGGCTGTCCCACTTACAAATTTGAATCTGAGGTAGCAACTCTCAGATACAAAAAAGGTCTCACTTTACGTGAAGCCAGACAGGAAGCACGTCGACAAGGTTTCTCTCATACTCCATATTCTAGCAACATCGTTCGCTCAGCCCTTCCCCCTCCACCCAAAAATGTCCCCATTTCCACTTCTACATTCTACATCCCTCAGACCAATTCCTTTGCCACTCTAAACCCAGACACCCCAGTCTCAACCACAGCTCCTATCTCAACTACAGCCCCAACACCAACCCCTCTCCCTCCCCGCACTACCCGAAGTAGACAGACTAAACGTTCTAACCCTTCTTCCCCTACAACACAATCACCTCCACCTACCTATACCTTTGTTCCTGAGACACCAGTCTCCTCTTCCCCCCCTCATAAGAAAACCTTTATTCCACAAAACTCTCCAACCAATTCCATTGCAGAAACAATTACCTTCTCACAAAACTCTCCAACAAACTCCACTGCAGAAACAATGGATGACATTCAAAGCTATATGCTTGAGACAAAATCCCAAAACTCATGCTCCTTCCACACTTGAAGTGGTTGCCGATATTCATACCCCTCCTACTAATATTCCCCCTACACCCCTTCCTCCTACTCCCTCCCAACACAACCTAACCCCCTCAATCCCAACCACCACTGATATCCATCCTCCCAATACCCATCCTCCTGATATGCATCCCCCTCTTACTCACAACACCCCTACACCCTTTCCTCCTAATCCCTCCCAAGACAACACATCCCCTTCAACTCCAACTATCCATCCTTCTGATATTCATCCTCCTAACACTAATAATCCCCACACATCTACTCCCTCCCAACACAACCCACCCCCTTCAACCCCAACTATAGGCACATTCTCCCTCCCTCCATCCCCTCTATCCTTTGCACTCCCTCCAGGATACACACGAGAATCACTCATGGCACAACAATGCCCTTCTCCAGACTTCCTACCTTCTAATATCCCTCCTTTACACCCCCTAGCTCCTTCCCCTTCAAATTCCCCAACACGTAAATGTGTTATCATTCATAAATCAACTAGGATATAGCTCTCCTACATTGGAATATTCGCGGTTTCCGCTCTCATAGATCAGACCTACGTCATATCCTTGCTTCTTATAATCCATCTGTTATCTGGCTCCAAGAGACTTTCCTCACACACCCTCCTATTCCAATTCCTAATTACCATTTTATCTCTTCCCCACACTCCCTTTATGTCTCGTCTATACTTATCCATCATAAAACACCTTATGTCATACCTCCCATACAAACCTCTGTCCCGTGCACAGCTATTCGCATCTTTCTTCGCCGCTGGATCACAGTGATTTCAGTCTACTCCCCATCCCATCCCATTGACTTTACTGCCTTTGAGACTCTAATTTCCCAACTCCAACCACCTTTCCTCATAGTTGGTGATTTCAGCTGCCGCCACACTCTGTGGGGTGACTCTACCACCAACTCCTGAGGCCGATCTCTAGAACGCTTCCTCTTCACAAATCAACCGCCTCTCCCTACAGTTGGCGGCGCAGGCCCGCAGCCAACACGACCAGCGACAGGGCCTTCCATCCGTCCGGCAGGAGCGGGAGCCTGGCGGGCGCTCGGGGGGGACCGCCCGCCCGCCAACCTAATTATTCTTAATTCAGATCGCCCCACACACTTTGACATGCGCACACAATCCTTTTCATGCCTTGACCTCTCTCTATGCTCTCCTACTTTACATCTAGATTTCCATTGGTCACTTCTAGACCACTTCCCCTATATTGACCATTTCCCAATACTCCTTTCTCCTACTTCATATGTACCACTTCCTAATCCTCCACGCTGGTGCTTTGATAGAGCTGACTGGCATACTTTCACTTCACTCTCTACTATACCTATCCCTCCACCCCCCTTACTGTCCATTTCAGATATGCTACATTGTTTTACAACAACGATCCTAAGAGCTGCCTATACAGCCATTCCTCGAACTTCAAGACCCTATACTTCTAAATGTGTTCCATGGTGGAATTCTGATTGCTCCAAAGCGCTCCGCTTAAAACGAGCAGCCTGGAACAGCTATCGCTACAAACGAGGCACCCCTCACCAGCTATCAGCCCTTATTTCCTTTAAAAGAGCATCTGCCCATCTTCGCCGTACAATTAAAAACAGCAAAACAAATAGCTGGCAAAATTATGTTTCCTCAATTACACCTTCTACATCTATTTCAGCTGTTTGGCGACGGATCCATAAACTATCAGGCAAACATCCCCCCCATCCTGCACCCGTCCTCCATATTCGAGATATTCTCATCTCTGAGCCTGTAGAAGTAGCTAATGAACTGGGCAACTATTTCAGCCAGGTCACTAGTGGCTCTCACCTTTCCCCACACTTTTCTTCCATTAAAACCATCAAGGAACGCACCCCTATTACCTTCACCCTATGCTCTGATGAGACCTATAATGCTCCTTTTTCTTCTTCTGAACTCAACGCTGCATTACAGTCGTGCCGCAACACTCATGAAGGCCCTGATGGTATTCACTATTGTATGCTCCGACACCTCCCATCTTCCTCTTTATCCTTCCTTTTAACTATTTTCAACCACATATGGACGTCAGGAAATTTTCCTTCTCATTGGCGAGATGCTCTCATCCTACCTTTCTTAAAACCCAATAAATCAGGTACCCTACCCCAAGATTACCGCCCCATAGCTCTAACTAGCTGCTTGTGCAAACTACTAGAACGAATGGTTAACTTCTGTTTAATGTGGTACCTAGAATTTCATAATCTTTCCCCTTCCCAGTTGGTTTCCGACGTGCCCGAAGTACAGCAGACCCACTTGCCCATTTTGAGACATACATTACATCGGCATTTGCACGCCATGAATCCGTATTAGCCATTTTCTTTGATCTAGAAAAAGCATATGACACCAAATGGCGATACCATATCCTCCAACAATTGTCCTCCTAGGTTTACGTGGAAAACATGGGTGTTTTCATTAAATCCTTCCTTTCTAAACGTACTTTCCAGGTCAAGATTGCCTCTTCCACGTCATCATCCTTTCCTCAATTCGAAGGCGTCCCACAAGGAAGTGTGCTTAGTACCACTTTATTCCTTCTTGCTGTAAATGACATAGTCTCAGTCCTACCACCAGGAGCCAGAGCATCACTACATGTTGATGACTTAACCATCTATGCATCTGGCACATCCATACCAGATCTCTGTCAATTCCTTCAGTCTGCAATAACATCAGTAACTTCTTGGGCCACCAACCATGGCTTTCGCTTCTCTACCTCTAAATCTTTCCCCATCCTTTTCTCTCGCTCATGTACGGTCCCAAACCCCCACTCTTCTTATATAATGCTTCCACTCCAATACCGGTCTTCTGGCAAATTCCTAGGCGTTATATTTGATTCCAAATTGTCCTGGCGAGACCATATCTTGTATATCAAAGAAAAAGCTCAACGTCGCCTCCGAATCTTACAAACTCTTTCACATATCTCCTGGGGCTCAGATCGCAAAACTCTCCTCCATCTTCATGTTACTTGATTCTCTCCACTCTAGATTATGGATGCCATATCTACTCCTCTGCCTCAACCTCTCTTCTTGCTCACCTTGATACAATCCACCACAGCGGTCTCCGCTTAGCCCTAGGCGCCTTCCGCTCCTCTCCAGTTGAGAGCCTATATACTGAATCAGGCATGCCGTCCCTCTCTCGACGTTCGAGCCCTTCTCTCTCCGATGCTATGCTCGATTTCACCAATTTTCCCTTATCCAAACTAACTATTCCACAATCCTTACTTCATACCTTTACCTCTTCTCCACGTTTACCAACTCCTCTCCCCGTACGCATGGATACCCTTCCTCTCCCATTCCCCCTTCCCTCATCTCCGACCTCTCCCACTGTCTGTCCATTTCCATTCCTCCATGGCTTATACCTAACCCCTGTATTTGCTCCTCAGTTTTCCCTGACCCACCAAAATCAGATATTCCCCCCTCTATCCTTCTCATCATTTCCTTGACCATGTCTCCATTCATTCCTCCAGCATTCATGTTTACACTGACGGTTCCAAATCCATCTCAGGAGCTGATTCGCAGTAACATTCCCAAATTGCACTTTCAAATACACCCTCCCTCCTGAATCTAGTGTCCTTACTACAGAACTATATGCACTCCTTTTTGCCTTAAGACGCATATACTCATCCACCTCTTCCTCTTTTACTATTTTTACTGACTCCCGTAATCTTTAACCCTCATAAAGTCAATGCACTCGACCAATTCCCCTTGTCTGTAAGATCCAGAACTGGTTGTTCTATCTTCCACACGTCACAAATCTGTCAGATTTTGCTGGGTACCCAGCCCATGTTGGAATCCCTGGCAATGAACAGGCAGATACACTTGCACGATATGCCGCAATGTCCACATCACCTCAACAACGCTTCTCACATATTCCAGCTACAGATTTACTACCCCACTTTAAG